TCCCATATCCCACCTCACCTTCGTCTCCTCAGCCTTCGATTCAAATATGTCCATCTTCCACAAGGTCACCCCTACTTTCGCCGCTTCCATGTTCAAAAACTCGCTACTCCTCCAACTATGTTAAACACATATCCTCTAGTTGTCTTGGAATAACCTGATAGGGTGTTCTAATCCGCATCACCATACCATTCTAATACAACAGGAAACCTTTAATAGTGTATACCAAGAATTTTCGTTATCTTAAGGTATATCATGACCCTTTTTGTAGCATTCTAATGCTCCATACAAGGACAAGTAGTTAACATGCAAAGAATTCCCATTATATATGCAATCTTGGGTCTGGTATAATCAGCTACAAATCGCAGACTTCTAATTATGCTAGCATATTCATATTTTCTTACACTGTCTCCAGTTTCCCTAAAAAGTTTTACACTAGCACCACCATAAGGTGGATATGCAGGTTTGCATTTAAAGTAATTGTATTTCTTTAACATCTTTACAATGTAACAATATTGAATTAAAGAAACTCCACCTTCTGTCCCCGTTATATAGATTCCAAACATAACCCTGGCTTCGCACATATCTTTCACATCAAAGTCCTCTCACAACTTGGTTTTCACTGCAACGAAAACATGAATGTTTGAAACAAAGATTAGCATGTCATCCACACATAAAAATATATACATAGTGCAAATTTCATCTTAAAATTAATAATAAATGCATTTGTCACTTTCGCATTTTAAAACCTCCAGCTTAAAACCACGAGAGAAAACTAGACTATCAAATTTTTCATGCCACCATTTTGGAGCTTGTTTCGACGACTCAAAGATTTTACTTAGAGAATCTAGAAGAATGTACATAAATAAATAAAAAACCTCCAGCTTGTTCCATGTAAGTTTCTTCATCTAAATCACCATTAAAAAAAAAGTCTTATAATCCATTTGATGCCCACTAAGATTGGTCAAAGCAGCAAGTGCAATCTGATAAAAATAAATGCTATTTTATTACTAGTGAATAGGCATAAAAGAAGTATACATTTTCTCTCGGCCTATAACTTTCAGGTACTAGGCAAACCTTATACGTATCAATTATATCATAAAACTTTCCAGTTTCTTTTTCAAAATGCATTTATTATTACATATGACTTTAGGAGTCGGATGGGGTGCTAACCCCGTACAACGTTAGCACTCTGCTAACCCCCCTGCTACTCTTTCGTTTTGTTTTTTCGACTGATTAAGGGCTTATGCTGCCAGGGGAATTTTTGCCATATGCATTAATTCGATGATGTCGTCCATGAAATCAGTCGGTAACCCAGGATACAGATACGTTTTTTTTTGTGGGATCCCAACAGTCAGAAGGTGAGTTTTTGGTCTATCCATTTTCCTCTCTAGCCCCGGAGATCTTCCCTTAGCGAAGCCGCCGAGTTATTGCCGTCATTCCCGTTGTTGAAGGCTCCATCGCCAGCGGCCTTCGTCGGTGGCTGTCTCGCCTACACTAACCTCGACGTCGCCGCCCTCCGATCCTCCCGCCTCGTCTCGCCCCCTCCGCTTCTCCGACCTCGTGTCGGCCGTGCGCCTTCAACGACCTCACTTTCAGCCGATCTCGTCCTCGTTTTGGCCACACTTCTTTTATTTCCGACGATGTTCAGTTTGCATATATGAAGGTGAAGAGTCCAGTAGATTCAGGTGGTAGTGTTTTCGCGTGTGGCCAGTTTTGTTCCATTGGTAGTGATTGGTGAAGTGAGTCAGGACTTTTAGGCTGGTAGTGATTCGTGTTCTGATTAGTGGTGTTTTTATGTTGGTTTGGTATTGTTTCCTAAATGAAGGAGTAGTATTTCCCTTGTCTGCCATTTCCATTCCATGTCCATTCCCATCTGATCTCCAGAAGTATGCCCCCTGTTTGGTCTTACGCATATGTTGTAGTGTTTTCTTGTACTAATGAAAGTCATGTAGTGTTTTAGTAATAGGTGTAGTTTCCCTGGAATGTTTAGTAGTGTGGAAGCTGGGAACTCAATCGTGCTAGTAGTGTTTCTATTGGTAGTGGTGATGCTAAAGTGTGTACAGTATTGGATTTGTGTTTAGTAGTTTTTTTTAGTAGTGTTTGTATTACTCCTATCTCACTTACACGCAAAAAAACTGCACGAAACCAAAACACTATTACAAGAATGGAATGGCTATGACATAAGCGACTACTATTGGAAACACTACCAATGATCATGAACAATACTATTATAGTAAAACACTACCATCAAAAATAATAACTAGTATGTCCTAACATTAAAATCTGTTATATAATAAATTAAAGAGACTGACGAGATAAGGATTGATATGGAGTAAAAAAAATTCCAAAAAACAAAGATTAATAATAATTTTTCCAAATAACAACCGTAAAATCCCATTAAATCCGCCCACTTTTCCAATAAATCCGCCCACTTTCCGTAAATCATATTAATTTCTTATGTTTTAATTTTCTTCTTATTTCCTATTATACCCTATCTTTAATTATAGCCATTTAATAAAAAATAAAATTAAACCATTTAAATATTAGTTAGTACGGTGTTAACCCCCTATAGGATTAGCACCGTAGCTTGTCCCATGACTTTACAATGAGGAGGTAAATTTACCATAAGCTAAGCTTTATTTCACACCAAATGCTTCATTTGGTCATTAATGACTTATTTGCCACAAATATGCATCTAGGGAAGTTAGAGATTCTTGCAAACTTGAAGTATCTTCCTCTGGCGTGTAAACAACAAAATGGTCATCATAATCGTTAGTGATTTAAATTCGTTTACTTTTTCTTGGTTCAAATTTAGATTCAACATCCCACTAGTTTCATGATTCTTAATAGCATACATTTTTTTTTTGGTGAAATGATTCTTAATAGCATACATGTTACCAAACGATCAACAAAAATGTCACTCTACCATGTAGAAGTAGCACTAGGATTAAGCATGACACTCTTCCCAATATTAACTTTGTGAAATAATCATTTTAAGTGTTATGTGTCTTTGTGGCGAACAAGAGGTTGGTCGAGTGGTAATATCACTGGTCTTGAATTAATGAGTCTCGGGTTCGAATCCGTAAGTAACAACTAATTTAAAATCACACCTATATCACTTCTTATAATAAACAAAGTGTTATGTGTCTTTGTTATTTGTGATTCGCCTTTTTAATATTATTTAGTATGTACTTTTATATGAACTTTAAATCCTATGAATTTGAATTTTACCCCAATTTTTATTTTACGTAAAATTTCAATATTGACTGCATTGCACGGAGAATAAGTAATACTTCTTAGCAAAATAATTGCTCCAACCAATAAAACATTGTTTCTGTAGGAAATAATTACCAAATTAAATATTTATATCTGAAAAGATATCATATAATAAAAAAAATTATCCCATAAAATATCATCTCAAACTAACCAAACCCAAATCACCCGCTCGACTGCTCAAGCGGCAAGCGCGTAAGTCTTTTTCCACAGAAGTGGGTGAACCCAAGGTTACATCTTTAGGGGCTCAAGATAGGGTGCATAACCATGGGTTATGCACCCATCAATAACCAAATTTGGACTCTTTGTTTAGAAAATTCAGATCTAAAGAAGGAGAATTAAAGACCATTCTTATTTTTTCTAGCTTTCTTAATTTACTCATATCTTTTTCGTTTTAACTAAGATTTTAATTTTTTTTGCACAGATGAAACGAGTTCATCGTGCTCTACAAAATGAGATCAATTTTCAATATTTTTTGAGAAAAAAAATTCTGGCCTCTCGGTACCAACTGCATACCATCTGCTATCTTCTTCGTTTTTAATTCGTTTTTGAAAAAGTTTGCACAGAAGGGACGAGTTCATCATGATCTATTGGATCTACAAATTTCAGGGTGAACAAATTACAGGACAAAAAAATACCAAACAATACCATACAATACCACCCTGGTACGGGGTGGTGTTGTATGGTATCTTCTTCGTTTTTAATTAGTTTTTGAAAACGTTTGCACAGAAGAGACGAGTTCATCATGATCTATTGGATCTAAAAATTTCTGGGTGAACAAATTACAGGACCAAAAAATACCACACAATACCATACAATACCACCCTGGTACGGGGTGGTATTGTGTGGTATACAATGTTAAAAGTCGTAAATGACAATTAATATACTTCTACTATCATGTATTCAGCCATCCTACAGTCTTGGTTTGTTCATACCACCATGGTACATTTTTCAAACCATAGGTATGCTTTTATTTCAATACTAGTCAATACCATATGGTATAGACTGGTAAAAAATGGTTCAATTTTTTTTGTTTGAAAAATATATTAAAGTGGATATCATTTTGAAGAGCACAAATAATCTGATCTAATTGTGCAAAAAAAATTAAATTTCGACTTAAAATGAGTGAGAAATCATCCGTCAAAGATTAAATAGGGGAAAATTAATGGTTTTCCAGGAGAGAGAGGATGTTGATGTGATGCTGATGTGGACGGATTACTCATGATTACTCACCATAAGCTTACTGATCTGATCCATTCCCATCTTTAGGATACATAATCTTACCTTTTACATATTTTGCAAGACTCTTTCCACCAATAATGTAATTTTTATGTTTCTATCAAATTGTGATAGTCCTTTCAAACTTACAAAGGAATTTCCTAATTTCATAAAATAAAGGGATTTTACTTCTAAGGGGAGAGAAGAAGTTCAAGTAGAAAAAGGAAAAAAAGAGCCAAAAGCTAGAGTGATTGAAATGAATTTGGTTGTGTAATTCTATAAATAAAATTTTTGTCTATGATTAATAATATTAGAAGATTGAAACTCGGTTTATGTTTCTTTTGCTTTGGTTATTCTTCTGTTCAGTTTAATAGTTTGATAACTATTTTGAGGTTGTTCTCACATTAAGGGAGGAATTCTTCGGTGCATCCGGGCTACCATGTCACCCGTGAACCGCCACAATAGAAAATTGATACAGATTCAACGTTTAAACAAACTAAAAAAAATATATGGATGCAAAGTACAACAACGGAGTAAGGAGAGACAACTTTTCCTCCACCGCCACCACCGACGTTCTCTACCACCTAAATTCTCTCCCATTCTCCGACCAGCGACGCTTTCTCTTCTCGAACCTCAATCTGAAGCAAACCCAGATCCCTCCCAGTCCCAAAGTCCTGCCAACTTTGGCCACTAGAAGTTTCTCCCACGATAAAAACAACGCCATCGACGAGAAACCTGAATTCACCGACTTCGCTGCCGCTAATTTCCAATCGGAGAAGAAATCATTCCCTTTTCAGAACAGGAACTATAATCTGATGCTTTGTTTATTGCTTTCATCTTTGAGGGCCGAGGTCCTGGGATCTATTGTCGATGGGAATTAGGATCCAGCACTTTGACGGCGCTTTGATTTCACCCCGCAAGAGTACAATTGCCCGTTTTTACTTTTTAATACTTAAACACGTGTCAATTTTTTATTGGGGCGGTGCAGGGTGACGTGGTAGTCCCGGTGCATCGAAGAATTTCTCTCGTTAAGGAGATTCTTTACCTGAGAATTCAAGGTAAGTTATCCAAGTTCAGAGATCGTCGAAGACCCAGTCACTTAACTAAATCAAGAGAAGCAGTTTTCGCGAACGATAAAGATGTATATATACAGTGCGGTGTCCACCTATTGGATGAGGTGAAAATAAACTACGTACATCTGTATAGTCCATACCAATTCGAGACCATGTGAAATATACATAATAAAATGATACTATATAGTATATCACCCTTGTTCAAAAAAAAAAAAAATAGTATATCACCCTATATAGTATTATCACCCTATCTCCTCTAAGACAATTTCTAATCAAAATGCTAAATATTAAAGTACCGACCAATGAAGGCCAGGCTTCTGAAATCATGTTGTCACAGCTCCCTCTGAAAGGTTGGAAAATGGAAACCAACTCTCCCAAGCATTAATGATCTCAACCATGACCTAGGAAAATTTCCCGGTCGGCCGCGCAGGGGCCGGCGCCGGCGGCAGAGTCCAGAAGGTCAAGCGTAGCATAGCTTTGGATTTATCCTCCATGGCCACAGCAATAATGTTATTAATCAATAATGAAACATCGTAGCTAGGTCCACCAGATCATAATTCGTTACCTATTTCCATTATTTGGAGCTATTATAGTGGTCCGTGCAACCAACTTGCTGCATATTAAACAGGGAAACAAAACAAGATTAATGGGAATATCTGAGGTGAGTTGGAGGTGTTGAGTATGGCACAGTATTGTAGGGGCCGCCATTATAGATTTAGTAATTATTTATGTAAGGTGTCCATTACTTTATACCATACTGACTAACTAACTTGAATAATAATTATTAGGGGTGTCCATTCATGTTCGTTTTTTTGGGTTTACCCGTAACCGACCCGATTATATACATTTTCGATTTTTTGGGTTCGGTTCATTTCGGGTTTCGGGTTTTTCGGTTTTGGGTTCGGTTTTGCTTATCGGTTTTTGGGTTTCGGCTAAAAACCTCCAATGAATAGAACTCAGCCCTAGGGATGGCAATGTATCGGGTCGGGGGCGGATAGTGCATATCCGTTACCCTACCCAATGTAGTTCGGGTTGTACCCATACCCGTACGCACACGAGAAACGGGTAGAAAATCAAAACCATGCCCATACCTGTTCGGGTTTCGGATATCCACGATTATCCATGGGTAATAACTTCTCCTTATAATTCCAACCAATATGTTAACATTCACACATATATCCACATTACGTAAGAGGAAAAGTACGACAATAATTCACTAGAATGACGAAAATTAATTAAAACAACATAATTTCATGAAAATATTATATTTATATGCTAAATATAAAATATTCTAGGGAAAAATAATGATTATTTCTAGACAAAATACATATGCATGTGTATAATCGGGCGGGTTCGGGTTGGATAGTGAAATAACCATGCCCACCCATTACCCACAATATTCGGGTTTGGGTTTTACCCGTACCCACGAAAAATGCTTCAGGTTCGGGTTTTACCCTACCCGATTAGGTCGGATTCGGGTGGATATCCACGGTTACGAATATTTTTGCCAGCCCTACTCAGCCCGTATTTTTAGGCATTCGGGTTTTCGGGTTTCGGTTTTGCTTTAATTGAACCCGAACCCTCAAGTCCTTATTGGGTTCGGATTCGGTTTTAGTGATTTTAGGTTTTGGGTTTTCGGATTTTTTTCGGGTTTTGGTTTGGGTAACCGAACCCGACTCGAACCGACACCCCTAATAATTATACCCATCAACGCCAATAGATTCATCAAAACAGGAAAGAAATCTATTGGTTGAAACCAGCCGACAGGCTATGTTTTGACAAGCTTAGCGGCTCCTTAAAAATTGTTTCTCATGATTTTTAAATGTGATCATTGATTTTTTTGAATGTTGTATTTTATTTAAAGTTAAATTATCAAGCTTAGCGGCTCCTTAAAAATTGTTTCTCATGATTTTTAAATGTGATCATTGATTTTTTTGGAATGTTGTATTTTATTTAAAGTTAAATTATATGTTTGGTCACTCAAATTATATAAATCTTTCACATTTGTTACCTGAATTACTTTTCTTTCTTATTCGCCATTAACTTTACGAATCGTTTCACCGTTGTCACTGGCCGTTACACTCCGTTAAATTTGTCCTATGTGGCAGTCAACTATAAAATTTGACCGTTAACTAACTGACGTGAAAATTAAAAAAAATATTATTTTTCCACCTCATCATTTTACTTTGTCCATATGATTTACCATAATAATTATTTAATAAAAATTAATAAATTACAAAAATTAAATATGAGTGGGAGGAAGAAATTGCAGAGGCATCCCTTCCTGCTCCACGCTCTCGGAATTCCTCCCCGACGTCAAATAAAAAAAATTAACTCCACAAAACTTGTACCAAATCCATTTCGTTCTATGGTAATCGATGAAATTACCTGTGTCTATACTACTACCCCGACGCGCCTTCTCCTTCTCCCACACCACCGGCACGAAAGGTGTTGTCGGTCCCAGTTCACTTAATCGACTCCTCATCTTCGATTCCACCGAGGTCTTCAGATCTGCTGCTCCACAGATCGGACTCGGCCGCAAAGAAGATCCAGAAGGTTTCTCGCTCTTCCGTGGATTAGTCCTGGGAAACTGGGGATACCACGTAAATCCGATTGTTCCGTTTTACAGTATTCAGTATTTGTGATTGTTAGATTGTCAACAGTTCAGGGGATTCACAGTGAAATAGCTTCAAAAAGATTGCAGGGCTAAGAAAGAGCTTCATTAAACGCGCGCAGTGGAAATCAGGATCTCGGATACCACGGATCTAATTTGCAGAGATGCGGGGGATCTGATTTACGGTGGAAATCTGTCCCTGGCTTGGACTCCGACGTCAGGGATTTCAGGAAGCTAGTCATCAAGAAGGCCATTGCGTTGGAAGAGTTCGTCCATTCAATCATCGATTCGGGAGTTGAAAATCATGAATTCCTAGAATCACCAGCTAAATTGAAGTTGTAGACAACTCCCACGGCGATTCGGAGTCCAACTCACCCGATCAAGCTGAAATTCCCAGGGATAATGACAAGTAGATCGAGAGCCACCGGAGTCGATGTAGGATCTGCAAAGTCGGACTCTGGTGGATGAAAAGAAGATGATCGAGGGGAGCTTCTACTTGACGGTAACGGTAGGGACACCAGAGAGCTTGATGAGCTTGGAGACGAGGGATGAGAAGGGGGAGCGGATTAGGTAAATAACCCTTATGGTGAGTAACCTTCAGTAACCTGTTCACATCCGCATGACATCTGCATCTCCTCTCTCCTGGAAAGTCTTTTATCTTTTCCCCTTTAATCTTTAACGGAAGATTTCTCTCTCGTTTTAAGTCGAAATTTAATTTTTTTTGCACAGATAAATCAGATTAAATGTGCTCTTTAAAATGATATCCACTTTGATATATTTTTAGTACAAAAAAAAATTGAATAATATTTTACAAGTCATTACCATATGGTATGCTCATATTTAATACCATATGGTAAGAAAACGTACCATGATGGTATGAACATACCAATATGGTAAGAAGGTTGAATATATGATAGTAGGAGTATAATAACTGTCATTTACGACTTTCATCATTGTTTACCATAAGTTACCACCACATACCATAGTGGTAAAGTATGGTAATTTTTGGTCTAGTATTTTTTTCACCCAGAAATTTGTAGATCCAATAGATCATGATGAACTCGTTCCTTCTGAGCAAACGTTTTAAAAAACGACTTAAAAACGAAGAAGTTACCATATGGTATGTAGTTGGTAAAAAAAGGTTTCTCGAAATATATTGAAAATTGATCTCATTTTGTAGAGCAAACGAACTCATTCCATGTGTGCAAAAAAAAATTGAAATCCGAGTTAAAACGAAGAAGATATGAGCCGATTATGAAAACTAGGGAAAATAAAATGTCTTTAATTGACAACCCTTAAATCTGGATTTTCTGGACCCACTTAGATATAAAGGTCTAGATTTAAGGGGTCGTTTGCTTCAAGGATTTGGTACCAAAAAACCAACTATCAAGGATTTAGGTACAATCCGTTGTTTGCTTGCACATTTTTTGGAGACCAAATCCGTGGGGCCCACGAATTTTAATGGTCCAAATCCGTGGACCCCACAGACTTATAAATCCCACATGTTGATGTGGGATTTGGAATATGGCATAAATCCTTGATGAGATTTTACCCATATACCCTCATGCACTTTTAATATTCCAAGGTTGCCCTCAAATTTAACTATTATACATTATAATTAACAATAAATGAATAATATAAACGTTCAATTAATGTGCAAACATGAGTTAGATTTTTTATATCATTTCTTGTGTTTAATTTTCTTTGACCTTTTCATGGAACGTGTAATTCTTTGTTCTCCCGATTCTAATATATGTTGTTATATGTCACTTTTGAAAAGGAGGACAAAGAATTGGTAATTGATTATGTTACGTTAAAAGTTAAAACAGAATTTTCTCGTTTATTATTATTGTCCATGTGGCAACATTATGCTTATTAGTATGTATTGTCCTTGTTTTGTGTACATATCATAAACATGTCAAACATATAGAAAATGATAGTAAGGTAATTTTGAAGTTTTGTCCTTGTTTTGTGTACATATCATAAACATGTCAAACGTATAGAAAATGGCAGTAATGTAATTTTTGAATTCAAGTAGTAAATCCCACACCTTTAAATCCATGATAAAAACATCCCAACAAACAAAGGATTGTTACAAATCCATGATGCCTCAAATCCTTGATAAATCCTTGGGTTTTTAAATTACAAAACCCTCATTTTTAAATCCTAGTTACTAATATGTTAGTAACCAATG